AAAGAAAAACAGCACATGTTTGAGTGTATGTTCACTTACAGGTGAATGACCATAAGACCTGCTTTCCCATTGGTTGGATGTGAAATTGTATTTGATCAAGTCACCAAGAGCTCTGTTCAGATCAAATCCTGCAAAGAAGATAAGCAAAATATTATTCAAACAAGGCCAATAATGAGATATGAGACTGATGACTCAGACATCGGCATTCAGCTCTAACAAAGAGATCAATATCACTGATGGTTAATATGTAACACAGTAACAAATTGTGTTGAGTTATGATTATTAACATATACCAAAGAATCAAAGTCAAAAACCTTGCCGTTGTCTTGTGTGTTAAAAATGTTTTTTTAGGCAAAAAAATTGTGTTAGTGGAATTTAACTGTATGTTGCTCTTACCGCCAAACAGGTACATGGCTCCTGTGGAGGAGAGGTACACGCCTGCAGAAGCTGTCCTGGGAGGTGTGTAGGGGTTTTCTTCACTCACACGCCACCACTTCCCTGCACCGCTGTCATTATAGAGACCAAGCTGGCAGTTTTGACCCACGAAGCCTGGCTTACACAGACAACGCTCTCCTTTCTGAAAAAATAAATAAATGAATGAAGTTAAATATGAAAAGTTTCATCACGGCACACAAATGAATAACCTAATCAGGTTGAGAAACGCGTTACTGTGCGACTATAGTATATATTTTTTGTGTGTGTTCATTTAATCGTCCCTATCCCTACTCTTACCTTGTCACACTGGCCGTTCACAGAACAAGCTTGAGTGCACAGAGGGGTTGTACATGAGGGCCCACCCCAACCCTGATGACAATGGCACTTTGATGTAGAGGAATCACAACGACCATGACCGCCACACACTCCAGGGCACAAAGAGAAGGTGTAAGTTGCATTGAAACCCAGTAGGTTGTAATTAGCGTCACTGAAGAGGTGAAGCAGCATCTGGAACACAGTTTAAGAGTGAACACAAATTAAGTTAGAATTCAATGCTAATGAAGTGTCAAGAATCATCCTGACCTTTCAGCTGTGGTATCTTTTCTTGGTTACCTTGCCAGACTTTGCTTCAACGGGCTGGGGCAACGTGTGGCCACTCAGACTGGCTAGTAGGGGGCTTTGGTAGGAGTCCCCATCATACACAAAAAGGTAGTCATAAGTGCACTCTGTGTTCATGAAGGTGAAATTCAAGACAATGCGGTAACTGTTGTTGGGAGCTGGAAGATATGAAGAATTAGATAA